AACAGAAGCAGCCCTGCTGCAGTGAATCCTACCTCTGTTACAATATTCTGTATTTGAAACCATTTAAAGAGGTTTTAATTTAACTTTATGAACCAAAGTTTAGCACATCATACTGGCAGGAGTTTTACTTGATTGTATTAATCAGTCCACGCCATTTAAACCAGCGTGGTCTGTACAATGCAGTGTAGTTCACTCTACAAACTGCAATTACTACGGCAATAAACATTTAAACTTTTAAATTTAGGTTTGTGTCACAGACTGTACAAAAGACAGACGTGGCCACCGTGACGTCACATATTATGCAAACTTGGGGATTGAAAAATAAACCACATATATATTTAATCTTTATTTCACCAGTGATTTAAACCGCATCACAGAGATAGATCATAATTCAGCTTTATCTGACATTTTTTTAAGATCTACCAGGTTCTGCAGAAATCCTGGGTGCCGTGAAGACCAGCGAAAATCAAACAGAACAGCTGTTTGCAAGTGATAGGGAGATTTCACAGATAAGCAGGGAGCATTGTAGCTTTATATATAAAAGTATGTCAATGTTGTAGTCCCCTTAGGCTGTCTAAAGGGCCAGGAAGCCAGATCATAAAGTGCACAGCGATGTATAATGCTCACTGAATCTGCTATGCTACACAGAGTCCAGGCAGCAGCTGATGCAGATCTAAAAGCGCAAAAATTATTCAGATCTTGATATATATACTGCCTGGTATTATCTGTGCAGTCATACAGTTTTTTAAGTTATATTAAAAAGTACTTTTAAGTATTAGCCTTCCAGCACTGTCTTTAAACTCTAGTCTGAGCAGTTCTGCTGGAGAAAACATCTTTTTTTGCTTTGTGTTACCACATATTAGACACCATATATAACAATAGCGACATACCAGGTTATTTCCTGCGTATAAAATATATAAAGACTTGGAAAAGACTCTTTGCATCGACTACATGTGGATAACTCTTGCTTAAATGTAAAAAGCTTGTGTATTATCAGCCAACTGATACGTCACCCAACTCCACTACAAGGTCACATATGCATTTTTCTATATAAATGCTTAATATTAATTATTATTTTTAAATATGAAATAAAGCTTCTTCTTTTTTTTTTATTTCTATTGATATATTAAGCTTTAACACACTAATAATTTTGCTCCAGTATGTACAAACACGTCTGAGTCACTTAGCGCAGTATCAGCCATGAGTTACATGAAGATAAATCAGATTTTCACCTGAACAGGTATCTTAACGGTAAAGCACGAGTCAAAACTAGCTAGCTCCCGGTTCTCCGCTAACTATAGTAGATTTAACGAGCAACGGCAGTTCAGTTCATATATACATGAACTGCAGCACGACTAGTTCCCGTCATAAAGGAGCCCGTGAAAGCTAAACGTGTCCGCTGAACAGCGTTTAGTTCCAGTGATTTGGGCCTAAAATAAACACCGAGGCTCGGGGCTAACAATTAAACAGCCAAAAGCGCTTTGAGATCACGGTGACTGCGGCTCGGTGTGCGGGATAAATAAGCAGCAGTGCCGCAGAAAAGAAAGGGGAAAAAATAAAAGGAAAAAATAAAACGGAGGCAGGGATCAACCGTTACTCCGTTGCCGTTAGCTAGCGGCGGGGCCTGGATGGAAAGCCACAATCTTACCCTGAGAAGTGCTGAGGACGACGGCGAGCATCGCCAAAGTCACCGAGATGAGGGGCATGTTTCCCCCCGGAAAGATCATTCCCGTTTGGATTTTAAACCGAGTAATTTTAAAGAGCAGATGTTCTCATCAGTGTGCACGAGCAGAAAGAGGCGCGCTAACGGTCGTTCTCGTGCATTATCCTGGCCAGGGAACAGCACGGGGGACGGGACGGCTCTGACAGTCCGTAATTTATCCGTGGAAATGACAGAGCGCTGCTGTGACGCCGCTCACCCGGGACGAGGGGTGTGCTGCCTTCACGGACCGACTGAAACGTTAGAATTATGCCCCATCACTCGGCCGTCGACAGTTTGCCAACAACAAAAACCAAACCGCGTCATCAGTATAATTACAAATAATAATGGAACGGAAACACATCTTTTTACTCAAATACGCAAATACACAGTAAGCCTTTCACATTTAACAAAAAGATTATTATTATTAGCAATAAACATATCAAAGGTACTCATTATGCACAGTGGTCTTTATCTGCATGATGCGCAGTATATCAAAAAGCATAATCACTGACTATGGGACGTCAGGACTGACATAATGAATTAATTAAATAAATACACCATTAAATAATTAATTAAATGTGGCAATAATTAATTAAAATTGGAAATAATTAATTTAAATGGGAATTAATTAAATAAATATTTTTGACACATTTAATTAATCAATTATTGACACATTTAATTCATTAATTATTGACACATTTAAATAATTATTTAATGGTGTATTTAATTAATGCATTATGTCAATCCTGGCGTTCCATAACTGACGTGAACGTCGTTTTGAATGCTTAGTATATTGCAGGATGTCTCGTTAAGAGCTCGCGTTTTCGAGCCTCCTTGAATGCGTCTTCCTACCCCCAGCCTGCACTGTCTGGATTTTAGCAAGTACCTGAAAAAACTGCTTTCTTTAATGTCACACTGGTACTAAATATCCTTAAACCGTGGAATGACCACATGTTTGAAAAACCTGTTATTTATAGGAGATTAAAATAAACCACTTAACTAAGCCATATAAGCCCGGGTTCATTATTTTTTCTGTAAAAATATGCAACTGTGAACCTCATTTATATGAAGTTTCATTAAGTGGAAGTAAACTACATAGAGATACGGAAAACTTTTCAAATACTCTCTCTGCCCACACAGCTGATCCCGCTCACCTGTTTGACCTTCTTAGTAGCTTTGCTGCAATCTGTTAAGCTGGGAGACATGACACGTTTGAAAGGAGAAGCACTCCACTCTGCACACACCAAACACCCTTAATGATAATGTGTGTTATGGACATTTTTGTGGTGTTTTATAGTCATCTAAGTAGTGTTATATATTAACAAACTTTTAGATGGTTCAGATCATTAAAAAATAAATAAACAATAGATAAAGATAATCTGAGTAGATACAAGATTAAGTTTTTAATTTATGATTTCATTTATTAAGGGAAATAAGTTATCCAAACACAGCTGGCCCTATGTGAAAAAAGTTATTCCATCTTCTCGTTTAAACAGAAGCTGTTTGACAAAGTGAAGTAAGCTAAAAGATCTCAAAAACACATCACGGCACAATCTGAAGGAAGTCGAGAACTGACGGGAAACAAATTCAATGACCTGTATCAGTCTGGAAAGGGTTAAAAAGGCCATTTCTAAGGGTTTGGGATTCCAGTGAACCACGGCAAGGCCCATTATGCACAAATGGAAAAAACTTGGAACAGTGGTGAACCTTCCCAGGAGGACAGATGCTTTAGTGTGATCTTAAACAGTTCATTCATGCTAGAAAAATCTCCAATACGGCTGAATCAACGCACCTCTGCAAAGAACAGTGGACCAAAGTTCCTCCACAGTGACGTGAAAGAATCATTTCCAGTTATCGTAAATGCTTGATTGCAGTTCCAAGGGTGGCACAAGCGGTTATTAGGTTTGGGGGGGAAATGACTTTTTCACATAGAGCCAGGTTGGTTTGGGTAGCTTTTTCCCCCCATTAATAAATGGAATGGTTATTTTAAAACTGCATTTTATATTTACTCAGGTTATCGTCATCTCATATTAAAATTTATTTGATGATCTGAAACAAGTAGGCGTGACAAATATGCAAAAATATAACAAATCAGGAAGAGGACAAATACTTTTTCACTGCTCTGTTATAAACTGTGTGTAATCTAATTTTTGTATAATCTTTTTTTCTGCACATTCCTCTTTTCATAGACAAATATTCACTCTCGGACATCCTTTGCTTGCAAAGGCGAATAACTGTGAAATCTGTAACTTGTTCATTGTGTCATAACTGATGTCGTGGGTGACAATATGGAGGAATATGTCACCCATTCCATACCATATTTCATACTCCATACACCTGGCAGCCCCTGTTTAGCCTCGTTTACCCCCCTGTGGTTTTAGCCCTCGTGTGAAGTTCGTGTTTGAGTCTGAGCTGTTTGGCATGTTGACATTCATGATGAGCAGATTCTGTTTTTAAATCCACATTAGCTTGTGTTGCTCACAAAGGTGCATTGGGGTAAGGAGCTCAGGAGCATAAACATCACATCCTTTTGGATTTTCTTTGAAAATTTAGTCATGAGTTCTATTAAAATAGAAACCAATCTACCGGAAACTCATTTTCAAAGAATCTGTTTGCATATTGGCGTTATATCCACAACCCTTTGGCCTCTTTTTTTTGACTAGAACTGCTTTTCTCTTTTTACCTCTTGGGCTTCCAGATCTGCCACAGCTGAAAAGCACCGGCTTCTTAGATTTTGCATTTTAAGCCTCAGGA